GGGCCACTTTGGGCGAGGCCGTGCTGCCGCCCTGGCAGGATGGGGTACAGACACGGCTCGCTGACCTGGGGGCGCTGCCCTGTGGGCCTTCGGCTAGGATCTGGCCTTGAGGTGCCACAGAGGTGTGAACAGCGTGAGGAGGTCGAGGCCTGGGCAGGGCCTTGCAGGAAGCTACTCCAGGCCAGCTCGGGAAGGCACAGCCCCGACACCGTGAGGCCAGAAACAGAAACCCAGGGCCGCTGCGCCACGAGGAACGCAGACAGGCCCCAGACGCGGGCCAGAGGGGAGAAGCAGGAGCCGGGGCCCAGGACAGAGACAGGGCCACATTATCACTGTCTAGCCACACACTTGGGGGCAGGCGGGACTGTCACATGCCTGGAGACAGCCACATGGGCGCCCACAGCCGAGAACAGAGTACCTCCTGTCAGGAGCATGGCCAGCAGGGTCTGCACACAGGGGACACTGTGGCTGGGAGTTCTGGGGCAGGGAAGAGGAGAAATCCAGACAGACACCAGCCTGGGTGTCACCCCACACACCAGACCTATTGTCACCAAGACACTCTGGAGAGAGCAGTGGCACCAGCCAAGACACACTGAATAAGGCCAGTGACACTGGTCAGAGCCCTTGAGACTTTGCACATGCCTAGAAAGAGCCACTCTTAGAAGCACCTCATGGATGACTGTCCCCGCAGCTTGACTGTGCAGACACTCATTTCGGGAAGTGTTAGGTGGCCCTAACAGGGTAGCAGAGACCCCTAGAAACACAACCAAAGATAGAGGGACCTACTCCCAAGCACGGCCTGTCCCTGTGGCACAGACACAGCCAGAGACAGACCCCTACCTGCCTGTGCAGAGAGTCCAGACGCTGGCCTGGGAGATGGGCCGGCTGCCTTAGGATCACTGTCACACGCGACAGACCCCGAGGGACAGTGGGCCTCGCTCAGCACACCATCATACCTGGAAGGAGACACACACCACAGGACAGCAGTCTACATGCAAAAACCTCAGACGTGGGTGCCCCAAAGACACCACGGACGTCCTGGGAGGCACCTGCTCCCTAAAACTATCCAGAAACTCAGTTATGAAGAGTCTTTTATTCACTTATTTATTTTAAAAATTTTTAAATTTTAAAAAATATTTTCTTTTTAGTTGTAGATGGACACAATGCCTTTATGTATTTATTTGTATGTGGTGCTGAGGGTCGAACCCAGGGCCTCGCGTGTGTGAGGTAGGCGCTCTGCCCTGAGCCCTGCCCCAGCCCTTTCTTTTCTTTTTTTTTTGGTGCTGAGGATTGAACCCAGGGGTGTTATACCACGGAGCCACATCCCCTGTCCTTTTTATCTTTTATTTTGAGACAGGGTCTCACTAACTTGTTGAGGCTGGTCTTGAACTTGCCATCCTCAGCCTCCCGAGTAACTGGGACCACAGGCATGTGCCACTGTGCCCCACTAGACATTCTCATTTGATAGGTCATCCTCTGGCAAATATTTGCTGAGGTCGCCTGTTTGCCAGGAGTTCTCGTTGATGTTGGGGGTACAGTGGTGACATCAGAGGTGCCATCCCTGCCTAAGAGGCATGCCTAGAGGAGACCAAGCTGGAACATACCCAGCACCTCTACCCTGAGAAACGCCCTAGAAACTGATGTCCCTGCCCACCCTCAGGAGGCACAGGCTCACTTAGGAAGAGTCTGCCATACATGGGGACACCCTGCCCACACAGATCATCGTCAGGAGGAACGCTAGGCATTTCTTCATTCCCCCAAGGGCAGCCACAGACCATGATAGTTAACCTCTTCATAAGGACATGCTCCCAAAGATGGCTGCCAGCAGAAACGGGGACATACTCAGCACCTTAGAAATCCAGTAGCAGATGAGGAGTGCACCAACACACATCCACCCAGCCCCCCTCCCCCCAAGAAGATACTCGGGGCTCTTGGTCACATTGCTCAAAAAAGAGTCCCATAGCCAGGTGTGTGGTGCACACCTGTAATCCCAGGACCCAGGAGGCTGAGGCAGGAGGATCACAAGTTGGAAGGCAGCCTTAACAACTTCGTGAGACCCTGACTCAAAATTTAAAAACTAAAAAGGGCTGAGGATGTAGCTCAGTGGTACAGTACCTCTGGGTTCAATCCTCAGTAATGAAAAAATAAAAAAGTGGGGGTGTCTCCCAGACACACACAGACTCAAGTCAGATGCACTTCCAGACTCGGTTCACACCAGCACAAACACAGGTCCTCACATTCTGCCACCACGGGACAGATGTCTCTAGGGAGGCTCAGCACCTTTGACCAATAGACACATAAGCATACTTGGCCCTGGGCTCCAGAGTGCCAGAGCTCCACCCCAGAGACAGCAGACACTCCAGCTGCAGCGAGGACCGTGGGCAGGTGCTGCTGACCGTCGGTCCCAGTAGAGTTGTGCTTCACGCCCCAGCTCAGCACGTAGGTGCAGGTACAGTGGCATCTGTGGGGACTGGTTCCAGGAGCCCTGAGGATGGCCAGGTGGTATATGAAGTGGCCTGATGTTCGCACCGGGCCTACGCACAGCCTCATGTGCCCTTGAAATCATCCTGAGATAACTTGTAAGACGTGTCCAAGCTTCGTAGGTAGGATTATGCTGTCGTTGAGGGCATCACAGCAAGAAAGGTCTGGCCAGTGTTCAGTACAGATTTTGTGTTGTTTCAGCGCAGGGCTAGAACCCAGGGCCTTGTGCGTGCTGGGCGAGCGCTCGACCACTGAGCCACATCCCTACCCCCCCAACCCCGGTTTTTCTTTTCTTTTCTTTTTTTTTTTTTTTTTGCAGGCGGGTACCAGGGATTGAGCTCGGGGGCACTCGCCCACTGAGCCCATCCCCAGCCCTATTTTGTGTTTCATTTAGAGACAGGGTCTCACTGAGTTGCTCAGCGCCTCGCTTTTGCTGAGGCTGGCTTGGAACTCGTGATCCTCCTGCCTCAGCCTCCCTAGCTGTGCACAGCTTCCCCAGCCCTTTTTATTTTTTATAAACTCATTAAAGTTGCCCCAGCTGCCCTTGAATTTGCAATCCTCCCATCTCAGTCTCCTAGAAATGTACACGTGTCCCACGGCACCTGGGCCTACTTTTTATTTTTTTTTTTAATGCGGAATGCAGGTCACTAACCTGATTTGCCAGCCTACTGGGTCATGACCCCTTGTTGGCAAACACCATCCTAGGGCTGGGGTGGAGCTCAGCAGTGGCCTGCTGGCCTGGCATGCACCAGGTCCTGCGTTCCTCCCAGCACCACACACACACACAGACACCCCCCCCAAAAAATTGAAAGCCTCAAGTTCCGTGGCACTGTGGTGAGCACAGTGGTGGCACCCAGAGTCCCAGCTACTTGGGAGACTGAGGCAGGCCAGGCTGGGCAACAGAGCGGGACCCTATCTCAAAACCAAAAATAATAAATAAATAAAAGAAACCACCAAGAACAGACAGAAGCCTCGGGCGCCAGGACCCCAGCCCTCCTGCGTGCAGGGGCACAGGTGGGTCTGTCTGTGTAAACGAAGCCCCCGTCTCCCTGTCGGGCCGGCACACGGGGGTGGGGAAGGGGTACGTGACAGGACCCGTTGGCATCTGTCTCTGTCCTTGGTGTGGGTGCCAGAGCCCCCTTCCTCCTCCCTCCTTTCCTTTCCTCCTTGTCCCCCACCCACCCCCTGGCTCCATTTCCGCCTCAGCTGTCCCTCCCCCAGTGCCCCTGCTCGACCACTGCACGATGCCCCAAGGAAGCCAGGAGGTGGCTTTGACATGCTGGGGCCCAGGGAGGAGACAGGGCCACTGCCACCTGGTCGCCCCCAAGGGAGTAATTGTTAGGGCCCTGCCCCCCTCAGACGGCCAATCAGCGGGGACCTGACCTCAGAGTTTCGTGAGGCCCCAGCTCGTGCTGGAGGTGGCTGCCAACCCCTGGTGAGCGGGGTGGCCGGGTGTGGGAGTCTGCTGTCCCCCGCCCTCCCGCTGCCTCGGGTGCCAGGTAGAGGAGCTCTCTGTGGCTGTGTCCCCCGGGGACTCTGGGTCTCGGCTGGCAGTTGCAGTTTCCTTTTGCACCCCGGGAATCAGAGCCCGGCCTGGCTCGCCAGCGGCTTCAGTCTTTGAGGGTCACTGCGGGCCTGAGTCGTGTCCCCAGAGTGCCAGGTGGCAGCCCCACCTGCCAAGTGCCCGCCGGAGCCAGGGGTGCAGACGTTCCTCGTCCCCCCTCCAGTCAGTCACCCCCTAACCCCCACGTAACCCTCGAGTCTTGGGTCTCCCCACGCCCTCCCCTCCCCCCAGATGTCGTTCTTGACCTGGTGTCCCCCCCCTCTCCCCCCCACCCCCCTCCTTCTCTCTCCTCAGACACCCCCCAGGCCTCCTCCCGAGACGCGGGTCTCCTGGTGTGGGGGGCAGTGGGGGGGACACTGCTGGTGCTGCTGCTTCTGGCTGGGGGGTCCTTGGCCTTCATCCTGCTGAGGGTGAGGAGAAGGAAGAGCCCTGGAGGAGGAGGCGGCATCGAAGACAGGGGATCCTACGATCCGAAAACTCCCATGTTTGGGAATGGGGTCCCCGTCTTCTGGAAACCACCCTCCCCGGGTCCCATGAGGCCAGAGGGCGAGGACGAGGAGGACGAGGAGGACGAGGAAGAGGCGAAGGCGGAGGAGGGCCTCATGCTGCCTCCGTGCCCAGCGCTCAAGGACGACATGGAGTCCCACCTGGATGGCTCCCTCATCTCGCGGAGGGCGGTTTATGTGTGACCCGGGGACGAGAGACGGAGACAACCTCCCCCGGCCCTGCCAGCCAGGGCCGCCAACTGGCCAGACCGTCTGTCTGTCTGTCTGGCCTGGATCCACGCGCTACCTCCCGCTTTCTGGGATTGGAGGGAAGTGGAATCACGCACTGGACTTCTCCTTTCTCCAGGGCTGCATGGAAAGGGGTGGCCCGGGAGCTCAGTGACTGGGACCCAGAGAGGACCCCCTCAGAGACTGTTTTTGGCCCTAGCCTGCCTCTAGCCCCGTGACACTCAGGAGTTAATAAATGCCTTGGAGGAAAACTTCAGGGATGTCTTGTAGTACATTAGACCCCCTCTTTGGGTCCTGGGGAAAGAGTGGGTGGGATGGGGACTACCCAGTCCCAGGGGTTGGGAAAAACTGTACTGGGCCCCTTAGGGGGCAGCCTGTGGGGGCTCAGATCACGTGGACGCCCACGACCCCTGAGGCTAGTGGGACTAGGAATTGGGTCACAGGCTTTGGGGCCTAGAGGCTGGAGTGTTGGGACTTCTGGGTCTCCGGATGGAAGTGGGGTGGCCAAACTGGCTGAAGGCCCAAATTCACTGGGAAAGCTAGGCTGAGTACCTGGACTCCTGGGCCCCTGGGGGACAGGGGGATTGGCAGGAGCCAGGGTCCCAATGTCCTGCGTTCAGAGAGAATGTGCAGGCAGAGGGCTGCGGTCTAACTGCAGGCAGCCCAGCCAGGACCCCCTCTGGGTTGCTGAGGACCTGAAGAAGGGAGGGCTACTTGCCCTCTGTTTTGGGGGTCCTTGAGGCTACAGGGCAGCTGTGGTGCTGGGGATCCTTGGAAAGCCCACCTCCCAGCCCTCCCAGTGACCCTTTCCAGCCACCTTCCTCCCCCCTTGCTCAGGGCCCAGCCCCAGGGGAGTCTCAGTGATTCAAAGTGGCGTCCCTCCCACTGCCCAGGTGGAGAAGGTCCTCCACTGCCAGGCTCAGTTTGAGAGAGGAAGGGGCAGACTTACGGCACTCAGCTCTGGAGCCTCTGTGGCCTCCCGGAAAAGGGAGCTGGTGTCCAGATCTGCCTCCCAAGACTGTCGTGAGATCCAGCAAGGACACCCGCAGGATGCCCTCTCGGGGCTGAGGGCCAGCAGGGGACGGACATGCTGCACTTTTTCAGCCTGAGTGGACTCCGCGTGTTCTGCAGCGCCTGGCCGGGCCGTGCTGGAGACACAGGGGACCTGGACGCGCCTGGCCCGCACTGCCCTTCGCCCAGTCGGTGAAGACAGAAGAGCCGAACCTGAGGATGACGGTGTGTGTGGATTGAGCAGATCACTCCTTGTCCCCGCGCTCTGAAGCCTTCTAGAGGATGCCCTGCTGGATGCAGACAGCATCCCCTGGGAAGCTCCCTCTCCTCATCTGGAAGGTGGGGTTGGTGTCACCGGGACACCGTAGGACTCTTCCACCCTTGGGCCTTCCTCTGTTGATGGTCTACCCCACCCCCTGGGAACAGGAGGGCCGCGTTTTCTCTCATCTGGCATGTCACTGAGTGTCCATTCCAAGCCTGCTGTAGACATCTGGCAAACACCTGCTGTGCACCTGACCTTGGGGCTCGGCTCAGGGTTGCAGGGGAAATTGGCAAACAGGTCATTGCTTCAATAACTACTAGGAGAGGTGGATGTGGCCAGTGAGAAGGGAGAATTGGAAGTGAGAATAGGAAGTACTGTGCAATAAGGGAGCCCTGGGGACATGAACTCTCAAGCCCTCCTGCTAGTCTGGAGGAGATGCCATTCCTACCATGAATGAGGGTCTCTGCTCCTGGTCCCAGGATCTTCTCGGCTTCTCTACCTTTAAATTGATCCTCCATCTTCTTCCTTCATCTCTCTCCCCTCCACTTTGCCCAGCTTCACAGTCTCCTTCCTATTCTTAAGAAGAACCATGAGGCAGGGCTGGGGTATAGCTCAGTGGTAGAACACTTGCCTAGCATGAGCAAGGCCCTAGATCTAATCCACAGCAGTGCAACAAACTAACCCACAAAGCTGCCTCAGGACCTTTGCACTGGTGGATCCTCTGACTGTAGCACACTCAGATACTCTCATGGCTCACCCTGCTCCTTCTTCAGGTGTTTGCTCAAATGTCCCCTCACAGTACATCCCTGTCTGCACTCTCATCATTCGTTATCACCTTCCTCACTCTGAATTTTTATCCTCTGTCACTGATCCCAACCTGGCATAAAAGATGTCACATTGTTTGTTTGCTTTGGCCTCCCCGCCCAACCAGAACTTAAGTTTCATGAGGATGGAGACCAGGCGTGTGTGTTTCAACGCTCCTCCTCCCAAGCCCAGCTCATGACAAACGTTCCTTACTTGCACTCAGCAAGGATGAGCTGAATGGAACAGTGTCCCCTTCCCATGGGAAAAGAGGAAGGCAGGTGGGAGGTGACTCAAGGGTGGGCCTGGGATGAGGAGCTGGGGCTTCCTCCAAGAGCTCCCCTCACACTGTCCTTCTCCTTGCAGAAATGCCTAACACGGCAGGCGCAGGGGCCACGGGTGGCATCATTGGTGGCATCATCGCTGCCATCATCGCTACAGCTGTCGCTGCTACGGGCATCCTCATCTGTCGGCAGCAGCAGAAGGAGCAGAGGCTGCAGGGGGCGGAGGAGGAGGATGAGTGAGTGGCGCGGGTCCTGGGGGGTGAGAGGATGGCAGAATTGGAGGGCACTGGGTGGGGGCTGTGGGTGGGAGAAATCATCCATGATGACTTGGTGACACAGACTTCCGTGAGGTGGGAAGGAAAGTGACAGTACTGCGGAGAAGTCATCGGAGCCCAGGTTCCTGCTACCTTGTTGCTCCACTTTCCCTAGAGCATGGTTTTCATTTGCGTCCCAAGATGGCTCCCTCCTCATCCACCACGGTCTTTGCACAGGATCACCAGACACTGCCGTCCTGGCCTCAAGGCCAGCATTGTGGCCAGTGAGAAGGGAGAATAGAGGGCAACTGGCTTCCCTGTAGAGAAACAGCGAGCAAGTTACCCATTACTTCCCATTGGTCAGAACTTAGTCACATGGTTGCCCCAGCTGCAAGGGAAGCTGGGAAATGTAGTTCTTATTTTTTTATTTTTTGCAGTGCTAGGTATGGAACCCAAGGGCACTCGACCATGGAGCTACATCCTCACCCCATTTTAGTTTTTTATTTTGACAAAGGTCTTGCTAAGTTGAGGGTCTCACTAAATTACTGAGGCAGACTTAAAATTGAAATCCTCCTGCCTCAGCCTGCCAAGTTGCAGGGATCATGGGCCACCACCCAGGCCATAGTCTTTATTCTGAGTGGCCATGTGTCCAGCTAATTCCTCTATTAGGGTGAGAAAGAGGGAGACTGGACCCTGGGGGGAACTGGCTTTGCTCTGTAAAGCGCTTCTGTGCCAGTGAGATTCATTTTATATGTGTGACCCCAGCAAAGTCTCGCACCAACCATGAATCCAAGAAGCATTCAGAAATACTAGCACTGGAAGGTAGGGACACAATGATGAGACACATTTTTTTAAAGGGTCCACACAAGTGAATAGATCATGGAAAAAGTTTTTCAGAAGGAGCTAATGATGCTTATTTTGTGGGAGAGGAAACAGTTTCCGAGAGTGGACATTCCACTGCTGAAATTCATCCCACAAACATTTTTGTGGCCAAATGTTTCTCAAATAACACTGTCAGTACAGTGGGGACAGTGGAATGCACATTCCTCCTGGGTGTGGTGGCGCACACCTGTGGTCCTAGCAACTCAGGAGGCTGAAGCGGGAGGATCACAAGTTCAAGTTCAGCCTCTGCATTAAAGCAACCCAGCAAAACCTTATTTCAAAATGAAAGAAAAGGGCTGGGGATGTGACTTAGTGGTTAAGTGGCCCCTGGGGTTCAATCCCTGGCACCAAAAAATAAAAAATAAAGATAAAAAGCAAATTCTTGGACCTGTCCCCAAAGCTACTGGATCAGAACTTTTGGGAAAGGACTCAGAATCCATATGCATAACAAACTCCCCAAGTTATTCTGGTGCAGTGGAGGGACGCAGGACATGAGCATGGTCTTCATCCTCCTGTCCGTTCAAACCAACAGCTGCTGTTGGTCTTCTGGGTGCCCCACCAGTGTGAGCCCAGGGTGCCCTAGCCCTGGCCTCCTGGGGCTCACAGTGGGGAGGAGACAGACCTGTGACAGACGCATGGCCAGAGAGGCACAGGACAGTAAACAGGTTGCTCTGGTCTGTGAGGGAGGATGAGGGACTTGGTTGAGGATGAGGGAGCATTGCGTTCCTTTATTCCTTCTCTTGATCTTTACTGTTTCAGTTCTGAGGATTCATTCTCATCTTTTAAATAAACCTTCTCTGAATCCTGGGGATCTGGGGACACTGACGATGACCCAGGTCTTGTCCTTTTCTCCCAGAGTTCACAGTAGGATGTGGAAATTGAACACATCACAAATAACATTTTCAAGTACCAATTCAGGCATTTCCCTGAGGGGCTGTACAGCTAGATGTGACCCACGTTCCTGATCCATCAGGAGAAGCAGGGATTCTTCCTGAAAGAGGAGGACTTCCTTGGATGAGGAGGGGTTCACCTGGCAACAGGGAGGGGCCACAGAAAGGGAGGTCCAGGCAGAGGAAGCCAAGCACAGCCACCCTCCGGGGCAGGGGCTTTCTGAAGTCTCGGCTTCCACCTCACCCACCTCCCACCCCGCAGCCTGGAAGGACCTCCCTCCTACAAGCCACCCACCCCAAAGGCAAAGCTGGAGGAGCCAGAGATGGTGAGCACTTCCCCTGGAATCCAAGCTGTCCCCACTCTTTACCTTCCTTTCCCCACGGGGTGGGCTTGCGGGAGAAGCCCGTGGCCCCAGACCTGCCCTCTCCCTCCTGCCACAGCCCTCCCAGCTCTTCACTCTGGGGGCCTCGGAACACAGCCCACTCAAGACTCCCTACTTTGACGCTGGCATCTCGTGCGCTGAGCAGGTAGGAGCTCAGGAGAAGACAGATGGGTTTAGGGTCTTGGTAGCAAGGGTTGAGGGTCAGGCCCTGGCCCTTAAGGGTGACAACCCAAATCAGGCTGTGTCTCTGGCTGGATTGACTACTCTAAGATGTGTTCAAGATTCAGTGAAGGAGGTCAGGAGTAAAAGGCCGACCACACGAGGGTAAAGTCGTCTGAGCAATGCAGACTGGCTCAGCATCTCCGTTTTCCAGGTACTGCCTGGAGCTGGGTCAAGGCAGTAGAGTTGCTCCCCCTCACTGGTCTCCTGGAGGTCAGGGGTCAGATTGCAGCTGAGTCAAGCTGAGGTTCAAGGAGCTGTTTAAGGCTCAAGGTTAAATAGTTAAAGGCAAGACTGAGGTGAAGGTTCATGGGTAAAGACAGGAATCAAGTGGCAAAGGTCCCTGAGGTCCCTGTTCTGGGCTTTGGGTTGGAGATGGGCTTATGATTGTCCCAATACAGCATCAGCTCAGAGAACCGGCTCAGCAGGAGCGGAGTCAGGTCTGATTGGCATAGGGGAGAGGGGGTCAGGATCTGTGGGTCAAGGGGTGGGTTGGGACTCTCATGCCCAGGAGATGACCTTGAATTCCAACTCCCTCCCCACCTCCAGGAAATGCCTCGATACCACGAACTGCCCACCCTGGAAGAGCGGTCGGGACCACTGCTGTTGGGGGCCACAAGCTTGGGGTCCCCTGTGCTGGTGCCTCCAGGACCACCTACTGTGGAGGAAGTTTCCCTGGATCTAGACGAGGATGAAGAGGAGGAAGAGGAGGAGGAAGACTATCTGGACAAGATCAACCCCATCTACGATGCCCTGTCCTACCCCAGCCCCACTGATTCCTACCAGGGCAAAGGCTTTGTTGTGTCCAGAGCCATGTATGTGTGAGTCACCAAGGCTCTGACCTCTCACTGCACCTGATCCCTTAGCCTTCTGCCAGGGATCTAGTGCCCCTGACCGATGGCCAAGCCACGTCAGTTAACACAAGTGCATCCCACCAACCACTTCCACCTTAGTGGCTTCACTATGACCTCTAGCCCATGATCTCTGTCCCAGAGAAACCTGCCATGACCAAGGAAACTTGATGACTTCATCTCCTGAGGCAGAGAGTAGGGAGGATATATTTCTGCACAAACTCTGACCCCAAGGACTCTTCTGAGGCTGTGACCTTAGACCATACCACTCCCCCCACAAAGACTCCACACCTCAGATTGGTCTCAGGCAGTGAAGTCCCAATAGGTCTGCGATGGTGGGCATTACCGGTTCCCTGCTGCATAGACCTGAGCCCTCCAGGCAGCAGAGCACCACTTGTCCTCTCCTACCTATTCCCCAAAGGTGGGAGGGAGGGAATTCCCCAGGCCAAGGCAGAGCTCTCCCATCCCCCTCCTCCTGCAGGCAGGAGTCTCAGGGCCCAAACCCTCCCCTGAGCCCACCACCCCATTCCTGTCTATAGAGCATGATGCCCCAGCCCATTGCTAGATGGGGTGAGCCTCCTGCAGTGTGCCTTGACAGCCCAACGCGGGGAGGAGCATTTACTGTTACCTGGAAGACTACTGAATCCCTTTACCCCTGCCGGGTTGGAAAGTGGGTCACCTGGGTTGGGGGTAGAAGATATTGTATTGTTTTGTAAACTAAAATTTCCTACAAACTATGAATTTATACTTAGTTTGAACAGGTCTTGCGTTTTCTGTGGGCAGTGAAGGGGGCGGGGATGGGAGTAAGGAGATGACGGATAATGGAAGGAGAGGGCAGAAGTCCTGGGCATGCAGTGTGGTAATGAAAAGAATTAGGGCAGCAGCAGTCCAACGGTGATGGGTAGAAATAAACGCAGCAAAGGTTTAAACATGAGTAATTAGGTAAGGGGTTTAGTTTTAATGGCAAAGCGGCAAGTAAACAGACTCGGGGCATAATTACAAATCTAACAGGAGCCCGAGGCTTAACGGATAATCCGCCTGAATGAGCAAGAGGCAGAATAAAGAATAACGGAGAGACGGACGGTGGACAGGAGCGGGCGGAGCCGAACACGATGGTTAACTAGGGATGGGCCAGGAGAACGGTGAACCGGAACAGGCAGAAGCGGGTTGAAGAAAGTTCAGGCAACGAAGCTCAAATTAATGGGGCGAAGGCACGATGGGTAATGGGACGGGAATGAATGGGCCAAAGATAGAAGCCGTAGTGACGCAGGGAGCCGACGGCACGATGGGTAACGAAAGGGGTGGGTCCAGGGCAAAAGTAACGTTAAGGAGTAATGGCATTGTGGGTAACGAGCAGGGCAGGGTTCACAGAACAGGTTAGCATTCTCCCGGGGCACTGTGGGAAAGACCTGCACTTCCGGTTTTCGGTGAGCGACTCTGGAGTAGAGAGAGTGCCCCTTTGCCGCGGTGCCTGGTGGGACGCGAGGCCTGACCTTGCTGCCTAGCAGCCCCTGCCGCGCAACCCACCTTTACCTGTGTCCTTCGACCCTGGTATGTTAGCCAATGAGAGAACAAAAGTGAGACGTCATCAAGATCAGCCCTCTGTTCACCACAGACACAATCAGGATGCTCCAAGGGCCAAAGCCGACCAATTACCATAGCGCTTGCAGCGGGGCGGAGTCGAAAGAGGGTGGTCCTTCAGGAGAGAGGCGGGACGAAGCGTCAATGGGCGTTGCAAAGTGCGCAGTACAGACCAATTGGTGGGCTAGCCCCGGAACCCGCGGCATCGGGAGCCAATAGGCGTGGGTGCCGCAAACCAATAGGAAGGACCAGAAGCTCTGCTGGGCCGCTTGCGTGTGGAAACCAATCGAAAAGGACGTTCGGGAGAGGTGGGTGGGACTTCCAGCCACGACTCCAATTGCAAGGCCGGGCGCCGAAGACGGTGGGTGGAACCTAGTGCTCACTGAACCAATGGGTCAAACGGGGCGGAGTGACGGTGGCGGCGGCGGCGGCAGTGAGTTCGGTTGCGCGTGGCGCACGGGGTGGGAGCGGAGCCCAGGCCGGGAGCAGGCGCCACCGCCAGTGAGAACTTGGGTCTGGAACAGGGCCGGGGTTCACTGGGGCTGAGTCCGGGGCGCGTGGGCCCTGACCTCTGCCCTTTGACCTCTCCCCTCGCAGGCCACCATGGGGAACGTGTTGGCCGCTAGCTCGCCGCCCGCAGGGCCGCCGCCTCCACCTGCGCCGGCCCTCGTGGGGCTGCCGCCACCTCCGCCCTCGCCGCCGGGCTTCACGCTGCCGCCGCTCGGAGGCGGCCTTGGTGCTGGGGCCAGCGCGGGTCGAGGTTCGGACCGAACCGCGGGGGCTGCCACCGTCAGTGCCGCAGGGGTCGCTGACAACGGGGCCTGCGACTGCCTGCCCAACCCCGGCACGTTCGAAGAGTGCCACCGGAAGTGCAAGGGTGAGGGGCGAGGGGCCTCGGCCGGTGATCCTGATGCCCTGAGCTCGGGGAGGGGTGCGGGGCCGGCGCGGAGAGGACACTGGGGACCTTGGGAATTGGCGCGCACCATTGGAGTCACTCAACAGAGCGTTAGGTGTTGACGTTGGGAGCAAATGATGGAAAGTTGGACTTGGGCATAGAACGATGATCCAGATGGTGGAACCGCGGGGTGGACTGCTGTAGCTTGGAGAGAAGCCGTAGACAGCCCTGGAGCTTCAGGATCAGTCACAGCAGACTTCTAGTGTGATCGGGAAGGGAACTGAGGCCCAAGGTCACAGTGTCAGCAAGGTTCCCGTGAGGGGTGGGGCCCAAGGCTTTTGGGGTCCTGGCTTGGAGTAATTATGGTAGTAATAGTGATGGAGACCTATTGAGTTCTGTTCTGCTGTTTAGCTTATGGTAATTCATTAAGTCTTTGGAACAGTTCCATTTAGTGCGTTCTCCCATCTTACAGATGATGAGTTTGACATAAAGTAACTTGGTTAAAGTCACGCAGATGATGGCATTGGGTGTTGGACACTGGCAAAGTTCCTGGCCCTGTCCACTAGACATTAGTGCCTCCCTAACTGGTTGTGATACTTTGGAGATCTTCTGATGTGGGTCTCTGGAGAGAGCTGGGTGGTAAAGGAGAGTTGACCGTTGGTGTGTCATTTGTCGAGTGGAGTGTGACACCAATTCTCTCCTCCAGAGCTGTTTCCCATTCAGATGGAGGGTGTCAAGCTTACAGTCAACAAAGGGTTGAGTAACCATTTCCAGGTGAGCCCTCCAGGTACCTTTACCCACCAGAGGTCATCACAGCCATCCCCTGCATCCGCACAAGCAAATTCCCTTACTGTCCCTAAAGGGCTGGGCTCCTTCGTACTTGAAAGAACTCAGAGACACTATGCCAGGCTGAATACTCAGTGGGGCCACTGGTAGGGTTTTGGGACAAAGAATCAAGAGATGCCCCTGGCTTCATAGCATTCGGGCAGGAGTGATGTGCCAGGTGTCAGCCACCTGCAGCCCACCCTTTTTGAGTCTCTAATCTAGTTAGGTCATACCTCCTAGTCTGTCCTTTATCAGTGGTCAGGTGTAACCCAGGGCCTCACCTTGGCTAAGCATGCACTGTACCAGTAAGCTACCCCCACCCCAGTTTTCATTCCCTGCCCAGAAATCCTGTCTTTTTTTCCCCTCCGTTGGGGAAGCCAGACTGGCAAGTACCCCTCAACTTTCCCTTTTCTCCCAGGTGAACCACACAGTAGCCCTCAGCACAATCGGGGAGTCCAACTACCACTTCGGGGTCACGTATGTGGGGACAAAGCAGCTGAGTCCCACAGAGGTGAGGTTCCTTTTGCCATCTGCTTGAACAGATATGAAGCCAAACACCCGTCTCAGACCTCAGTGTTGGGAATGGGGACTGGAACTCTCCAAGAGGTGTTGGAACGTGGGCAGTCCCTTCTCCAGCAACTTCCCTGAGCCCCTGCTCTCTCTCTCTCTCTGTCTCTCTGGTCTTGTGCTGAGTAATGCTGGAGGGGGGACCTGGGTGATCACAACACCAGACAGTGATGGCCCATGGGCAGGGCTGGGTATCAGGTTGTGGGATTTTAAATGCCAGGTGCTTGGATTTTTCTCTAGGGGGCGCTAGAGAGCCGTGGAACATTTGAACAGGGGAAAGATGATCATCACATTTGTGCTTCAAACATTCCCTCGGACTGCCATGGGGAGGCAGGATATTGGGGTGGGGGTGACTGTAGGTCTGGACTGAGGGAGACAGTACTCATTTAGGTCCCTGTTTCTATTACCTATTTCCCTTCAATAACTTCATTTATTCAGAAAACTTTGTTGTAATTCTGTTGTATGCCTAGCTTTGTGCTGGGATACAGTAGTGACTGAGACACCCGTGAGACTCATAGTCTAGTAGAGAGGGACAGATCTCTTCCCTGAGAGTAATGATCCAGGGTGGGCACAAAATGGGGGAATTCAAAGGCTGTGGGGACCCAGAGAGAGGCCCTAACCTGGCCCAGGAGCTGAGGGGGCGCTTTAAGGAGGAGGGAGCCTCGTGCTGAGCCTCTGACTCCAGATTCAGGGCTTGGGCCTCCTGATGACACACTAAAGTGCTGCCTTCCAACCTCTAACCTGCCCTCTCCCCACCGCAGGCGTTCCCAGTGCTGGTGGGTGACATGGATAACAGTGGCAGCCTCAACGCTCAGGTCATTCACCAGCTGGGCCCTGGCCTCAGGTCCAAGATGGCCATCCAGGTGAGTGGGGGCGAGCGCCGCCTACTCCTGGGCCAGCCAGGTGCTCCTGGCACAGCTGCTGCCCTCACACCCCCCTCCCCACAGACCCAGCAGTCGAAGTTTGTGAACTGGCAGGTGGATGGGGAGTACCGGGGTTCCGACTTCACAGCAGCCGTCACCCTCGGAAACCCAGACGTTCTCGTGGGTTCAGGTAAGAGGCCTTGGAGGGTGGTTGCAAACCCCTGTCCCAGCCGTAGCAAACCTGCTTGCTTCTCTGGACCTGCTTTCCCACCCTGTGAGAAGTGATGGGAGGGGCTGGCTCTGAAACCGGCCAGGCTGGGGTGGCTTGTGGTGGAGTGCTTGGCCGCCACTCTGGACTGGGACGTGGGCCTTGGTTTCCTCCTGGGTGGACCTGGGCTGCCTCTGAGCCAGCGGGTGGTTTCATAGTTGGTGTCCCGTTGACAGGAATCTTAGAGCGACGCTAGCTATAGGTAGATACCCAAGTCACGTGAGTTGCTTTTGACGCTTTAACTCGGGGGGCGGGGGGCTCCATGTTGGTTCTGGGGCACAGAAAAGGTCACTAGATGACAGAGGCCACGTGCAGTTGTGAAGGGAGGTGGGGGCTGAGGATTCCTGTCTGGGTGGGGTGGGGCAGGGACTGTGGCTCTGTCTGTATTTCTAGCCTCTCCCTCTCGGTTCCCTTTTTTAGGTGACTTGTGTGTGTCTCGTCTCGTGGGTACCTAGAGAGTGGGGGGGGGTTCTGGGTTTAAGGTGGGGATTAAAGAAAACTGTCCAGCCTCCTGGACCTTCCATTCCAACAGGGCAGACACAGGGAAGGAGGGGCAGGCGAAGGTGACAGATAGGCCTCTTTCCATAGGTGACATAAGAACCATGTGAGGGAAGGAACCAGGCAGGTGGCAGGGAGGGTGGTTCGGCCTAAGGAACCAGAAGTGCAAAGGCCCTGAGGCAGGACCCTTGAAACAAACTCCAAGGTCACAGGATTTTGACCTTTCTTCTGAGTGAGTCTGGGGTGATAGGAGGGTTTTCAGTGGGTGAGAGACGAGGTCTGATGTAGCTGTCACAGGGCCCCTCATGCTGATGCTTGGGGAACAGTATAAGGGATCGGGATGGAGGGGATTGGTTCTGGCTTGGCTGGAAGGGGATTCGCCTGACACTGGGCGCCGGGGTGACGGGAATCGGACAGCTCTGCAGTCTCGGTCTTGAGCAGCGGGAAGGATGCAGCCAGCAGTTCCTGGGCTGCGTGCTAGTGGAGCGTGGCTCTTGGGGTGAGTCCTGAGCCAGTGAGTATGCGGTGTTGGGGAACCAGGGCCGGTTTGGGATCCCTGGGGTGCCCAGGGACAGTGGTTACTTCTTCCTGTGAGAGGCCAGGGAGATTTCTCAGAGAAGTTGTCACGTTCACGCTTCCAGAGGAAGGAGAAACCACCCCCAGCCAGAGACAAGAGTGAGAATATTTGAGGCCAGGCAGCACCTAGACCAGGACTTGGCAGAGGAAAGGGCCGTGTCATAAAATCAGGAGACAGGGAAGGTGGGGAAGGCAGCAGGTGACAGGAGGGGCCTCAAAGGCCAGGAGGAATCACTTCCTGTCCCCTGCTAACCTGTCTTCACTCCTTCTCTCACCCTCACTCCACCTGAGTCACGCAGGCTTTTCCGGTAGTTCTTTCCGCCCCAGGACATTTGCACACACTATTTCTGCTGCCTCCCTCCTGCCTCAGTGTAGCTGCCATCAGCGCACGCGTCACCCTCTCAGGAAGCCTTTCTTGACTGACTAGTGTCCATCTTTGCACTGTATCACCTTGCCCTGTCCCTGGACCTTGTGGCACTTGTGGTTGTCTTCCTTCCTGCTGCTAGCCTTCCAGAGGAGAGGGCGAGGGCAAGGGCTGGCCCCCATCATCCCTGTGTGCTCGTCCCTGTGTCCCTGTGTGTGCAGAGCCTGGAACCCTGCTGAAAACAGCTGAAGCTCAGAAAGTGCCAAGGAGCAGGGCCGGGTGGGGCAGGTCCTGCTGTGGCTTTGGCTTGTTGTGGTGGTGCTGGGGGTGGAGTCCTGGGCTTGCGCTCTACCTGAGCCACCCCCAGGCCCGGGTCCTGCTTTGTACTTCTAGGTCAGGCCTGGCCCCCCACACTTGCTCAGTACCCCGGCCTCTGGTGCAGGGGCCAGGGAAGGGGCTTGGTGGGTCCCTCAGCCGCCTCGAAGGGCAGCTGCCCCTGTCCCCACCTTACCGAAACCCAGAGAGGACACAGGGCATGTCAGACTCAGTTCCCTGCTCGGCTTTGTGGACCCCATTCCCCAGGCCACCTTGCCAGCGGGTTGCTCTGTGCTCCCCAGCGCACCTCCTGAGCACATCCACCACGGCCCTTACACGTGTCTGTTCATCTCCTCAGACACCAAGACAGCCCTCTGCCCAGGGCACCACTGAGTCACTTGCCAAACACAGTGACTCAGACTTGGACTCGGGCTCCACCTGCCCTGAGCCTCAGTCTCCTTGTCTGTTACATGGCCATGATGGCACAGCCACCATTTAATGACATATTGATTGGAGAGCTCTCCGCAGGCCCAGGGGTGAAGTCAGTTGCCTGGGGCCACGGGACTGGGGTCCCTGGAGCTTCTGCTACACCCTGAGCACCTGCCTAGGAGGGCAGGGCTGGGACACACACAGGGGACTGAGACAGGACAGCACTTGAGTCCCAAGGGGCTTAGGACATAGCTCAGGGGTAGAGCACTTGCCCTTTGTGTGTGAACCCAGGGGTACTTACTTAACCACTGAGCCATGCCCCCAGCCCTTTTTTTTTTTAAGACCAAGTTTCAATAAATTGCCTAGGGCCTAAGTTGCTGCGACTGGCTTTGAACTTGAGGTTCTCCTGCCTCAGCCTCACAGGTCCCTATGTTCACAGACGTGGACCTTGTCGGCTTGCTTAGCACATTTGAGGACCTGGATTCAATCACCAACACCACAAAAAAAAAAAAAAAAAAAATTCACATAATGAATGTGCTCTTGGTTGGGAAATCCTATCCAGGAAAAGTTCAGATTGCTATAATGACTTCCAACAAGGGGCCCCGTCTTACCAGCAGTGACAAGGACAGTTTCTCTAAAATGGCAGTGTGTGGCCCCAGGGGCAAGAATCAGGGAAAGGAGAGGGAAACGCTCACTGAGCGGTCACTGTGGTGTGGCAGAGGCAGAGGGAGTCTGGCTGAGCCAGGAGCCCCCTTTCTGCAGGTGCCCCCTGCCTCCGCCTCTGCCGTGGGCGGCCACCACTTGTTCAGTCCTGCCCCCGGTGACTTCCCCAAGCAGCAGCGCTGCTGGGGCCCTAGCCCAGCTGGGCCAAGGCCAGGTGTGGCATCCCAGCCTGCTGTCCCACCACTCCTGCCCAGCAGGTTTGGGCAGCAGTTGGGCAGACAGGGCCCCTTTCCCAGCCTGCCTGAGGCCTCTCCCCACACAGAGGAGAGGTGGCTCTGGGCCACCTCCCCTGCTGCTCTCATGGAGCACAGTTTTGTTGATCATCAAGGGGATGCCGGGCTCCTTTATGTGATGCAGAGGATCAAACCCAGTGCCTCATGCACACTAGGCGAGCGCTCTACCACTCAGCCCCAAGCTCCGTTTTGTTTTTATGATGCTGGGGATGGGACCCAGGGCCTGGCTCTGTAGGCAAGCCTCCCCCACTGCGGCCCACGGCCTGCAGGCATCCTGTTAAGTGCTAGAAACTCAAAATGCCTGGGCTCTTCTTTGGAGTGGGGAGGACATTTCAAAAACAGCTGGAAACTCTCACTGTCAGGGACCTTCTGCATTCCTGTCCACTGCCCAGGAGGGGCGGAGGCAGGAGACCAGGGCGGGAGAGTTCAGTGGGGGAAGACCCCAGAGAGGCAGCCAAACCTCAGAAACACTCAGAAGATGCAGGTGTCCGGCTGGCAGTAGGAATGGTTCACCAGCTGAAGGGGCAGTGGCATAGGCCCAGGGTGAAGTGGGAGAGTCCTGTGTGTTCATGCAGCTCCGCAGGGTAACGGCTCTGGCTGAGGTGTTAAGAGAAGGGGATGAGGCCTTTTTTGAAGTTGGGACCAAGCCACAGAGGGTCTCAGCTGTGCGGTGAGAAGCCAGGATCTTTTCAAGGTTCTGGGGAGCCATCGCAGATTGTGGGCACTGGGAGAACAGAATCAGGTTTGTGTTTGGAGAGAGGGACGGGGGAGGTGGGAGAGGTGGCTGGAGTAGTTGGTGGCAAGGCGGAGGCCCTGGAGATAAGGAGGGTGGTTAGAGACACCTGGGGATGTGCTGGCCCTTGTCCCAGTAGTTCCCACAGCTGGAAGGCCAGAGGAGACGCTATGTTGAGTCCCTGTGTCTGTGACTGTATGGCTCCTTCTCTGAGGCCTCAGTTGCCGTACAGATGGCAGAGGGGTGGCTTGACAGTGCAGTCTCGATCGTGCTCGGCGCTTCATTGTGTCATCTGCTCACTGGAGAAAGGAGGGTCACAATGGTCAGAGGAACATGGGGGCCCAGCTCCAGCCCACCGCAGTGCCCTGGCCAGGAACTTGAGGCCCCCATCCATTCTGGCTGGCCCCTCTTGCAGGCTGCCAGCCCCTCTGGCTGGCCCAACTAAGATGGTCATTCACCTGCCCCTGAGAATCTGCCTCGGTTCCCCACCTGGGAAGCCACTGGTCTCTGTGCTCCGCCCCGACCTGTCCTCTCTGCACCCTGCCTTCCCCATCCCTTGGGGCTGCTGCTTCTCTGGGGGTCTCGTCCTGTGCGCCCACGTCTGTGTCCACCGTCTGTGCCTTGTCCCTCTCCTTTGGTCCCAGCGTCTGTGCTGTCTTCAGGCTGCGTCTGCAGCTCCTTTCTCCCCTGTCAGGTGACATGGCTCTTGTCGCCTGTTCTCTGCTGGGCTCCAGAGACCCAAGCAAATCACTGTCAGTCCTCGGCCTCGAGGAGTCACACTGGCCGTTGCGGTACACGCAGGCCTCTGGTGCAGACCCCAGCGTGACGGGTCCTAGTGATGGTGGACCTGTCACTTGGTCTTTGTCACAACCCCAGGGAGGAGTCATGTTAACAGAGAAGTGATGTCAGTGGCCAAGGCCACTGGGCTGGCAGTGCTGGGCAGCCACCTCCCGTCCTCACTGTGCCCTCCTGCCCACTCCCCTCCTGCCTCTCACTGCACCCGCGAGGCCCGGAGCCTGGGCTGAGGCATGGCGGCCTGGCTCCACCCTGGCACATTTTGTGAGCCTGGGGGAGAGACCCGCCTCCCTCAGCGTCTGCCCCCGTCCATCCGTGCTGGGGTGAGTGTGGGCTGCACTGGGCCAGGTGGAGTCCTGCAGGCCAGGGTGCCATCACAGGCCTGGGAGGCTGACCCCCTGCAGGTTAGCAAGCCAGGAGCTGTTGTGAGGGAGGGACCAGGGACCCGCCCAGCTTCCTGTAGGCGGAGCCTGGTCCCCACCTGCTGGCTGGGCTGGAGCTGACTGTCCCCTGTCCTCAGGAATCCTCGTGGCCCACTACCTCCAGAGCATCACGCCATGCCTGGCCCTGGGTGGAGAGCTGGTCTACCACCGGCGGCCCGGAGAAGAAGGCACCGTCATGTCGCTGGCTGGGAAATACACACGTGAGCCTGGGCTGAGGGCAGGGCAGGGACCTGGCTTCCCAGATGGCGCATCTCCTTGGTGACCACCCCCACTGTCCTCTCTTACAGTTAACAACTGGTTGGCCACAGTGACACTTGGCCAAGCAGGCATGCACGCGACGTACTACCACAAAGCCAGTGACCAGGTGAGCTGGCGGCCCGTGTGGAGGGCGTGCTCACAGGCCGGGGTCTCAGGCTGTGCACCTGGAACCCAGAGGTGGTAGCTCACTCTTGCGCTGCCCACTCCTCCAGCTGCAGGTAGGCGTGGAGTTCGAGGCCAGTACGAGGATGCAGGACACCAGCGTCTCCTTTGGGTACCAGCTGGACCTGCCGAAGGCCAACCTCCTCTTCAAAGGTAAACCCTGTTTCCCTCCGTGGAAAACAGATAAGAGGTGACTCGGCTCGTGGTGGGTGTGGAGGCCAAAGGAGATGAGGGACGGCTGTGTGCCAGGGTTTTGTGGGCCTCCAAAGCACCCAGGGAGGCTTTTTTTAATAAGTAGGTGCTGGGGCCCCACCCCTGGAACATCTGATGCCCATGTCTGGGCCGAATCCGGAGCATCGTGCTCTCTGCCCACCCCCCGTAAGGAGAAGGCACCCTGGAAACCTTGTGCCCCCCATTCATCCCACATTAGTAGGAATTGAGGCGCTGGGAAGTGGCCTGGTCACCAGGATGACTGTCTCCAGTCCTGATGACCATGCCTGAGCCGCAGTGTTCCTAGGTTTAAGGTAGGCAGCAGCCACCTGGGGGGTCGGGAACTTGTCACTGCTGCAGCCTGCCCTCCTGGTGACCCTCTGCTACATGGCCAGCCTGCGTGAGGGGACCTTCTGGAGTGCCAGGTTTGCTTCTGGCACCTTCCTTCTGACCCTTCTCAAGGTGCGGTGACAGCTCCATGCAGTGGCCCATCTGCAAGGTCCTGCACAATCCTTAGAAGACATCTCGGTCTTTGGGCAGAGGCGCCCCTGCTCGGCCCTGTCTGCAGGCCCACAATGGGGAGCACTGCCCGGTCCCTGGAGGAGGATGACCCAGAGTGGACCCACTGGGGTGGGGTCCCAGGGTCCTGGCAAGGGCTTCCCAGAGCAAGGAGCAAGCTGTCTGCTCCCAGGAGTGAAGGGGCTGGGCTGCACGGAGTGGCTTCCAGGTGCAGGTTGCTGTGGTCAGCTGCCTGAGGAGGCCTGGAGTGGCCACATAGGGACGGGATGGGACCTAGCACATCTCTTAGCACAGCTTTTGACCCACAGGCTCCGTGGACAGTAACTGGATCGTGGGCGCCACCCTGGAGAAGAAGCTGCCACCCCTGCCTCTGACGCTGGCCCTCGGGGCCTTCCTGAACCACCGCAAGAACAAGTTCCAGTGCGGCTTCGGCCTCACCATCGGCTGAGTCCACGCTGAGTCCACTCCGGCCTCCACGCCCTTCCTCCTCCTCCACCTCCCCGGAGGGAGACCTGAGCCCCTTCCCCTCCTCTCCCTCCCTCCTCCAGGGTCGGGGGGCAGCGGAAAGGAGGGGACCCGCCACCCCAGCAGCTGAGGAGGGGGTGCTGGATCCAAGGGGGCGCTTCGGGACTCTGAGCGCCGGGGCCGGGTGAGCCCAATGGGCCTGGGGTCCCAGGGGGGATTCTGGAATCTGGGCGCTGGATTCTGAGCACCAGGGCAGAAGTGGCCAGACAACCTCAGGGAGGAGTGTCATGGCGTCCCCATCCTTCACAGAGGGCCCCGCCGAGCCCGCCCAAGGGGCAGCAAGAGGAGCTCCCCGCCCCGTCAGCCCGCCCTGCCCACTTTCCCTTCTACCCCTCAGTATAAATCATGTTTATAAGTTATAGAAGAACCGGGACATTTTACAGAAAAAATGAAAAAAAAAAAAAAAAACAATATACATGGGGGGAAAGCAGTTGAGGTGAGGTGCCTCCGTTTCCTGTGGTTCTTCCCGCGGTGGCCAGCAGGGGGCGCGGGGGTCCGGGGCACAGGACAGCCTGGCACTCTGCTAGGGAAGAGCCTGGCCAGGACCACAGCACCCCGTGGCCTGTGCCCCCCAGGGACAGCACAGCCTTCCTTTGCAAGAGGGCGGGGTCTCCAGGTAGTGGCCACAGAGGACTTTGTTCCTGCAGACTGAAGCAACAGGGATGACTCCAGGATCTTCCCAGATGACACAGGAAGGGGGTGGTAGGGCTTCTCGGGACCTTCACAGCTTTCATTAACGTCACGGAGGATCCAGGCTGCTGGGAGGGCATGAGGACTGTTAAGAAAGGAAGAGCCACCTGAGGGGAGGAGAGCAGGGAGTGGGGTGGGTCGCCTGTATCTGAGGGATTGTTGGGCTTTTTCTTTTGATGTGGGATCTCCCCGTCTCCCAGCCAGTTGTCTGAAGTTCTGTGCCCCCGTGACCCCTGCCCTCCACCTCCCCAGCTGAGGGCCGGCTGCCCTGCACTCAGCAGGAGGCGTCCGAGTTGGCCAGGCTGGAGCTCACAGACTACTGACTCCCCCAGACAGGAACTGAAACCCTGCCCCCCCCCAGGATTGGCGGGGTGCTGCTGGGTACAGATGACCCCTAGTTACCCTCAGAAGCCACCTCCCCGCCTCTGCCAGCCATCTCTAAGTCCAAAGCAAACAGTCCTGGGCCTGACCAGGCATGAGGGCTCCCTCCTCAGGTGCTCAGCCTCCTACCACAGGATCCAGGGCTCCCAGCCCCTTGAGGAGCCAGGTGTGAGCCCCAGGGCCCTGTCGTTGCTCTGGCTTCTCCCTGTGCCTCAAGTCTGAAACAGCGGGGAACACGAGGACTGTCAAGTTCCTGACCCATCATGTCCCTGAGCTGATACAGGTCCTACTCTGCCAGGGACTGTCCCCAGTACCTGCCACCTAGTTAATCACCTGGCCTTATTGCCAAGCCACGTCTGACACTGCAGCTCTTAAGACCACCCCACCCCCATGCTGGCATCGAATCCGGGTGCTCTACCACTGAGCCACGTCCCCAGCCCGTTTCATTTTGAGTGGGTCTCACCAAGTTGCCCAGCCTGGCCGCAAACTTGCAATCCTCCGCCTCGCCTCCCGAGGCCTGGGATTGGACGTGTGCGCTGCGCCAGCTGCTTTCCCACTTTTTTGTTTTGTTTTTAACATTTTTTTAGTTGTAGTTGGACACAATACCCTTATTTTTATTTGTTTTTAATTTTATGTGGTGCTGAGGATCGAGCCCAGCGCCTCACACTTGCTAGGTGAGCGCTCTACTGCTGAGTCACAACCCCAGCCCCCCCCACACACACTTTTTTTAAAAAATATTTTTAAGTTGTCAATGGACCTTTATTTATTTATATGTGGTGCTGAGAACAGAACCCAGTGCCTCCCACATGCTAGGCAAGTGCTCTACCACTCAGCCCCAGCCCCAGCCCATGCTTTCCCACTTTTATAGTAAAGAGGCTGCTCAGAGGTGGGTCGTTTGCCCAAGATCACAAGCTGGCAGTGGGCAGGTCTGGAGTCCAAACCTAACGGCACTTTTTGCTTCCAGCGTATGAAGAGCACCCTGCCTGTCCCAGCCAGCGGCTGCTGGGTTCCTGTTTCACAAGTGGAGGAAAGAGCTCTAAGAGGTGGTCACCTGCACCCGGGGTCACACTCAAGAGAGGGAGCAAGAGCCAGGTGCGGTGGCGCACGTCTGTAATCCCAGCGCCTCGGAAGGCTGAGACAGGAGGACTGTGAATTCAAAGCAGGTCTCAGCAACAAGGAGGCGCTAAGCAGCTCAGTGAGACCCTGTCTCTAAATAAAAAGTACAAAATAGGGCTGGGGATGTGGCTCCGCAGCCGAGTGCCCCTGAGTTCGCTCTCCGCCCTGCCTCCTCCCCCAAAAAAAGATGGAGCAAGGGTTAAAACCAAGTTTCACTCAAGTGCTCATGCCCATAAGGTCCCCGGCACCCCATAATAGAGGAGGACGCCTGGATTACTGAATGAGGAGTCGTCTCCCTTCCTGGGGGCTGGGGGTGGGAAGTGGTCCAAGGCCTCCACGCCCCACCTCCTTGGCCCTGTTGTGTGTGAGGAGGGAGAGGACAGCCTGCCTCGTGACAGGGGGCTGGCCGAGCCCGCCCTAGCCCTGGGGTAGGGGGCGGGGCAGGGGAGCCCTATAATTGGAGGAGTCTGGGCTCCCAGAGCCCTGCTCAGCTCCTGCGGACTCAAAGGATCTGGTACCCCAGGAACGGGTGAGATGTGCAGCCAGAGGGTGCAGGGACCAGCAGAGGGGTCTTGGGATGATGTGGACACCTCAAAACCCCCTGACCTCTAGGGAAAGTCAGGGGCTAGGAGGAAAGGGCAGGAAGCTCAGAGAGCCATTTGGGAGACAAGATGGGGGAGAAGCAGTGACCGGCCTCTGCCTGGATCAGTCCAGACACAGGACCAGGGGAGTGGACCTTGAAAAGCCAGCGGTAGGGCCTCCCACCCTATCTAGAAGGTGGAGGGTGGGGGGCAGCTGGAAAAACCCAGAGATGAATCCTAGCCAAATCCCACTGTCATTTATTGAGCACCTACTGGATGCCCCCATTTGTCTTCAGGTCTCCATAATCCAGGATGCAGGGGTGGCTAGACCAGATTGAAAGAAGGACTTTTCTATGAGGGTTAAATTAGCATGTAGATTGAAATCAGCGCTTAGACGCGACTTTGGAGCATAGAATGTGAAGGTGGACGGAGGAACGCAGAGCTGGACCTTAGAGAGCCCGGCTGGGTGGGGGCTCAGTGGAATCTGAACCCTGGAGAGGGAGATGGAATTTTGGCAGTGAATGGAGAGATAGGAGAAGACAAAGAGGGAGTTAAATAGCTGAGTTGGGGGGAGCAGCCTGGTGAATGTTTATGATTGGATTAGGTTATCTCAGATCTTGGGGTGGGGAGGCTTTGAAGGTGGGGCCAGGCTGGGGGGAGGAGTCCCCACAGGGCTGTTGATTCAGTCTCTCCCCTCCCCAGACTGACCATCAGGCAGAAAGATGAAGGTTCTGTGGGCCGTGTTGGTGACCACGCTCCTGGCAGGTATGGAAGCAGGGCCTGCCTGCCTGGTGACCTGCATGTCACTCTTCTACCCCTTGGCCTCCATTCAAGTCCTCAACCCCCTCTTCTGTGACCCATCCTCCTTGAGAGTGAGGCCCAGGTCTGAGGCCTCCCTGACCTTCACTCGCCCTGAGCAGCTGCTGTCCGCTCTCTGGCCTATTTTCCCATCTATAAAATGGGCACAAGCAATGTCGTGCTGCCGTGCTCTCAGGTAGGTAGTGAGTACCGGCCAAGAGTCGGCTGTGACCCTCCTCATTCTCCCTCGCCCCTGTGCAGCCCGACATAGGGCCCACAAAGGCACGAAGGACGTGGACAGTGATTAATCAGACCACCCCCTCCCTGCCCGCCTGGGCTCCAAGGAGGCCCTGAGCACTGTGTAGCGCCTGCTCTGTGTGAGGGAGCGTGCCTGACCCTGATGGCTCCCAACTTGCCCTACACAGGATGCCGGGCGGAGCTGGAACTGGAGCCAGAGGTACAGGAGCAGACCAATTGGCAGATTGGCCAGACCCGCCAGCCCTGGGAGCTGGCACTGGGCCGCTTCTGGGATTACCTGCACTGGGTGCAGACGCTCTCTGACCAGGTGCAGGAGGAGCTGCTCAGCTCCCAGGTCACCCAGGAACTGGCGTGAGTGCCCCCACCCCCCGGCCTTTGACCCTGTTGCTGCCTCTGGATCCTCTGAACCTCCAAGGACTTGGGTTCTTTTCTGTCCCTGGGTCTCTGCCTCTTTCTTGCTCTCCTTTAAACTCCTGGCTTTCCTCTCTGCTTCCCCAGCTCTCTGTCCCTGCCCATCCTCCAGGCTCACAGGCTGGTGCTCTCTGCCTCTGTCCCACATCCCCATCCCCTTTACTTATTTATTTATATTTTTTAGTTGTATATGGACAGAATACCTTTATTTTATTCATTTATTTTTATGTGGTGCTGAGGATCAAACCCAGGGCCTCACACATGCCAGGCAAGCGCTCTACCACTGAGCCACGACCCCAGTCCCCGCTCCTCCCTTTTTACTTTTTATTTTGAGACACTATCTCACTAAGTTGTTTAGGACCTTGCTCAATTGCTGAGGCTGGCCTCCCACTTGGGATCCTCCTGCCTCTGCCTCCCAAGTTGCTGGTGTTACAGGCCTGTGCCGCCACGCCTGGCCCCTGGTCCTTCTGTCGTCTTGATCTCTCTGCATCTGTCTCAGTCTCCTCTGGGCCTCTTCCCCTTCCTCCTCTTCCCCTTCGGGTCCCCCATCTGTCTCAGTCCTCGTCTTGCCAGCGTCCGCCCTCTTGGCCCGCAGGGTGCTAATAGAGGACACGATGAAGGAGGTGAAGGCCTACAAGTCGGAGCTGGAGGAGCAGCTGCGCCCGATGGCCGAGGAGACGCAGGCCCGGCTCTCCAAGGAGCTGCAGGCGGCGCAGGCGCGGCTCGGGGCGGACATGCAGGACGTGCGCAACCGCCTGGAGCAGTACCGCAGCGAGGTGCGGGCCATGGTGGGCCAGAGCACCGAGGAGCTGCGGGCGCGCCTGGCCTCGCACCTGCGCAAGCTGCGCAAGCGGCTGCAGCGCGACGCCGAGGACCTGCAGAAGCGCCTGGCCGTGTACCAGGCCGGGGCCCGCGAGGGCGCCGAGCGCGGCGTGAGCGCCATCCGAGAGCGCCTGGGGCCGCTGGTGGAGCAGGGCCGCCTGCGGGCAGCCACCGTGAGCAGCCTGGCCAGCCAGCCGCTGCGGGAGCGCGCCCAGGCCTGGAGCGAGCGGCTGCGCGGGCGGCTGGAGGAGGTGGGCAGCCGCGCGCGCGACCGCCTGGACGAGGTGCGCGAGCAGGTGGAGGAGGTGCGCGCCAAGGTGGAGGAGCAGACGGCGCAGATGCGCCTGCAAGCCG